TATATGTTAGGCCACAAAACAAGTCTCAACAAATTCAAGAAAATATAAAGTATATCAAGGATCTTTTCCAATCATAATGATGTGAAACTAGGAACCAATTAACAGGAAGAAAGCTAGAAAATTCACAAATACATGGAAATTAAACAACACACTCCTGAGCAAAGAAGAAAACAAACAGAAAATAAAAAATATATTGAGACAAACAAAAAAAAAAAGAAACACAACGTACCAAAACTTAAGGGGTGCAGCAAAAGCAGTTCTAAGAGGGAAACTTATAGTGATAAATGCATACATGAAGAAGAATCTCAAATAAACAACATAATTTTCCACCTCAAGAAACTAGGAAAGAAAAACAAACTAAACCCAAAATTGACAGCAGAAAGGAAATAATAAAGATTAGAGCAGAAATAAATGAAATAGAGAATAGGAAAACAATATAAAAGATTAACAACACTGAGCTGGTTCTTTGAAATGATAAACAAAATTGACAAACCTTTAGCTAGACTAACCAAGAAAAACAAAGAAGGGCACCTGGATGGCTCAGTCAGTTAAGCATCTGACTCTTGATTTCGGCTCAGGTCATGATCTCAGGTTTATGAGATCAAGCCCTTGTCAGGCTCTGTGCTCAGCAAAGAGTCTGCTTGAGATTTTCTCTCCCTCTCCCTCTGCCCCTCCCACTCATGCATGTGCTCGCTCTCTCTCTCTCTCTCTCTCTCTCTCTCTCTCATAAATAAATCTTAAAAAAAAGAAAGAGAACCCAAATAAATAAAAATTATAAATGAAAGTGGAAACATTATAAGAAATACAAAGGATCGTAATAACATACTATGAAGAAATGGATAAATGTCTAGAAACATGCAACCTACCAAGACTGAATTTGGAAGAAGTAGAAAATATGAACAGACCAATAGTGAGTAAAGAGGCTGAATCAGTGATCAAAACCCTCCCAACGAAGAAAAGTCCAGGACCAGAGAGTTTCACAGGTGAAATCTACCATTTAAAGCCAACTTTCACTCTTCCAAAAAATTGAGGAGAAGGAAGCACTCTCAAACTCATTTTATAAGGCGAGAAACACCAAAGCCAGGTAAGGACATCACAAGAGGAGAAAACTATAGGCCAATACTCATGATCAGTATAGATGCAGAAATTCTCAAGAGAGTACTAGGAAACCAAATTCAACAGCACATTTTTAAAAGAATCATACACCATGATTTAGTTGGATTCATCCCTGGCATGCAAGAATGGTTCAACATATGCATATAAAAATATATATGATATATTACATTACTAGAATGAAATATAAAAATAATATCATCTTAGTAGATACAGAAAAAAACATTTCACAAAATTCAAAGGATAAAAACTCTCAACCAAGGGGGTATATAAAAGAAATGTACCCCAACATAATAAAGGTTATGTGACATACTCAATGGTGAAAAGCTGAAAGCTTCTCCTCTAAGATTTAAAACAAGACAAGGATGCCCACTCTCACCAGGCCTATTCAGCATAATATTCAAAATCCTACTAACGAGTAATCAGGCAAGAAAAAAATAAAGGGCATCTAAATCAGAAAGGATGATATAAAATTCTTTGTTTGTAGATGACATGATCTTACAGATAGAAAACCCTAAAGATTCCACCAAAAAACTGTTAGAACTTATAAATTCAGTAAAGTTGCAGGATAAAAATACTAACATACAAAAACCAGTTGCATTTCTATACACTAACAATGAACTATCTGAAAAAAAAAACACAATTCCTTTAGAATAACATCAAAAACAACAAAATACTTAGGAATAAATTTAACCAAGGAGCTGAAAGATGTCTACACTGAAAACTATAAGACTCAGATGAAAGAAGAAGACACAAATGGAATGATATCCCACATTTATAGATTGGAAGAATTAATATTGTTAAAATGAACATACAACCAAAGCTATCCATAGATTCAATAGAATCCCTGTCAAGATTTCAATGGCACTTTTTACAGATATAGAAAAACAATTCTAAAATTTGTATGGAACCACAAAAGACCCCAAATAGCTGAAGCAATCCTGAGAAAGAACAAAGCTGGAGGTATCACACTTCTTGATTTCAAACTATGATACAAAGCTGTAGTAATCAAAACTGTATGATGCTGATATAAAAACAGACACATAGACCAACGGAACAGAATGAGAGCCCAGAAATACACCCATGCACATATGGTCAACTAATATTTGGCAGGGGAGCCAAGACTATCCACTGGGGAGAGGATAGTCTCTTCAAAAAATGATGTTGGAAAAACTGGACATTCACATGCAAAAGAGTGAAACTGGCCCCCTATTTTACAACACTTACAAAAATTAACTCAAAATAATATATTAAAGGCTTAAATATAAGACCTGAAATCATAAAACTCCTAGAAGAAAACGTAGGGAAAAAGCTTGGCAATGATTTTTTAGATATAACACCAAAAGTACAACCACCAAAACCAAAAATAAACAAGTTGGATTAAATGAAACTAAAAAGCTTCTGCAAAGCAAAAGTAATGATCAACCAAATGAAAAGGCAACCTCTGGAATGGGAGAAAATATTTGCAAACCACATATCTGATAGGGTTAATATCCAAAATATATAAGTAACTCCTACCACTCAATAGCAAAAAAAAAAAAAAAACCCCAAATAATCCAATTGAAAGAATGGGAAAGAGACCTGAGTAGACATTTTTCCAAAGGAGATATTAAAATTGCCAAGAGGTACATGAAAAGATGCTCAACCTTACTAATCATGATGGAAATGCAAATCAAAACCACAATGAGATAAGACCTCACACATGTTCGAAGGGCTATTACCAAAAAAGACAAAAGATAACAAGTACTGGCAAGGATGTAGAGAAAACAGAACCCTCATGCACTATTGGTGAGAATGTAAATTGGTATCATCACTATGGAAAACATTATGGATGTTTCTCAAAAAATTAAAAATAGAAATACCATATGATCCAGGATTTCCACTTCTGGGTAGGTTTCAGAAAAAAAATAAAATGACTATCTTGAAGAGGTATCTCCACCCCCCACGTTCACTGAAGCATTATTTACAACAGTGAGTTCATTGAAACAACCTGAGTATCCATCAGTAGATAAAAGGATAAAGAAAATGTGGTATATATACACAATGGAATATTGTTCAGCCATAAGAAAGGAAATACTGCCATTTCCAACAAAATGGATGAAACTTAAAGTCATTATGCTAAGTGAAATAAGACAGACAAAGACAAATGTTGTATGATCTCACTTCTGTGTGGACTCTAAAAAACACTGAACTCTTAGAAACAAAGAGTAGATGAGTGTTTGCCAGAGATGGGGGTGATGGTGAGGGAAATGGATGAAGGTAGTCAGAGGGTAACAAACTTCCCGGTATAAGGTGAACATGTTCTAGAAATGTAATGTTCAGCATGGTGACTATAGTTAATGATACTGTGTTGCATATTTGAAAGTTGCTAAGAGAGTAGATCTCAACACACACACACACACACACACACACACGCACACACACGCACACGCACACGCATATTGTAACTATGTGAGGTGATGTTAAACTTATTGTGGTAATCATTTCACAATATATGCATACATCAGATCATCACATTGTTCATCTTAAACTTATGCAGTGTTGTTATATGTCAATTATATCTCAATAAATCTGGAAGAAAACCTTTTGAGTGCTTGGGGAAACTTAAATCAAAATGCTATAACTTTTTAAAATGCATTATGTTCATGTGCCTAACACTACTTCCAAATGTACACCCTTGGACAAGGGGCACTTTAAGACCTAGAATTTCCTGTATAGCAATCTCATTCACAGATGTAGATGTCTCTGTCTTCGTCTTTGAGCAAATATTGAGTTCAATTTTATATTTTTTAGACCAGCAGTTCTTGTGATAACTTCCACATAACTGAAAGAGGTTACACAAGAGATATGAAAGGACTGTTTAGTGAAATGGAAATATTTTTTTATAGAATCTATCCTCTTTTGTCTATTTCATAAAATCTCCAAATATTAATCAAAGATACTTACTGCATTTGACAATAAGCGGATGTTTGCATGGAAGACATTGAAACGTGTTAAAGAGAAAAATAGAAGGAAGAATACACACACAAAAATATAAATTTCAGCTATTTGAGTAAGTTGAGGAATTATCTTTAGAACAAGAGAAAAGCTAGGCACATCCAAGAATTGTTTTAAAGACAAGGAAAATACATTAAGGACCTTGATGAATAGGGCAAGAAAAATACCAGTAGCCTCTCTTAATAATGGAATTCCTTGAACAAATTAAGTTAAAAGCTCAAAAGAAAAAATAACGTACATTTTGCATTTACATTTTATGCAGTTAATATAAAGACTACATGGTGTGATACTGGGGAAATTCAGTGCCTTATTTATCATCATCATCTCTCTATTTCTGTCATACCTTTAAAATTGCTCACTGGGGAAGCTGTTGATGTTATGATGTCATATATGATAGAGAACCTAGGTCTTTTAAATCCTGGTACTTTTTAATGATGGCAGAATTAACTGTTTAAACAGTTTGCAGAAGTTTGGAAATGAAATCCCAGTTTTTAAGTGCCAGCTATTAACAAGAGCACATGTATTCCTTTGACTGATTGATCAGTGGATCGAAATGGAAGTGATATATCTATAAAGTAGAGTCTGGGGCAAGATTTATTCTTCAACCACTACAAAAGCTAATTTTACTCTTAAAGTAATTAATGTAGTGTATTTCATTTGTTCCATTTATATTTTGGCATTGCTCACATAGCCAAAATATCTCTAGCTTCATTTTCTCCCGTTTTTGAGCTTGCCATTTTTCATAAATGGCGTTGAAGAAACCTCATGCATTCAAGGAAAGGAGATACTTGTCAAGGGTTTGCCTCACCATTTCTCAGTCAGCGAAGCCTGTTGCAGTTTCTCTTATCTGCATCCAAATATTTGAATAAAGCATGTCTCATTCCCCACAGGAGCTTCAGAGAGACATCGAGAAACATAGCACGGGCGTGGCCTCCGTCCTCAACCTGTGTGAGGTCCTGCTGCATGACTGCGACGCCTGCGCCACAGATGCGGAGTGTGACTCCATCCAGCAGGCGACACGAAACCTGGACCGGCGGTGGAGAAATATCTGTGCCATGTCCATGGAAAGAAGACTCAAGTAAGCGGCAAGGTTCAAAGAGCTGGGAAAGAGGAAGGGCCCAAAAGAGAGAGAAAGAAAAAAAAAAAAACAACAACAACAACTACTACCCAGAGCATCCACTGCTTACTATTTCCTTTTGGTTGCAGTGTCCAAAAGGAGCATTGGTGTCCCAAACTTGCCGCCATCTACATTTAGTTGGGAAAATAAGTAAGCATAAAGGTCATACAGTAGCTCCCCCCCCGCCCCCACCATATCCATGTTTTCTCTTTCCACGGTGTCAGTTACCCACGGTCAAGCAGGATCCAGAAAACAGAGGATCCGCCTTCTGATGTACGGTCAGAAGGTCCACAGTGGCCCAACACTAGTCACACACCTACATCATTCATGTAATATCATCCATCACGTAGGCATTTGATCATCTCACATCATCACAAGAAAGGCGAATGCATGGGCAGCAGGGGGGCTCAGTCAGGTAAGCATGTGCCTTGGGCTCAGGCCATGATCGCAGGGTCCTGGGAAAGAGTTCGACGGCCTGTTGTCGGGCTCCCTGCTCCACGGGGAGTCTGCTTCTCCCTCTCCCTCTGCCTGCCACTCCCCCTGCTTGTGCTCTCTCTCTCTCTCAAAGAAATAAAATCTTTAAAAATTTTTTTTAAAATAAAAACATTTTAAAAAGAAGGGTGAATGCAGTACAGTAAGACATTTTAGAGAGACCACATTCATATAAGTTTTATTACAGTATACTATTATAATTGTTCTATTTTATTATTGGTTATTGTCGTTAATCTCCTACTGTGCTTAATTTGTAAATTAAACTTTATCATACCTATGTCTAGGATAAAACAGTATATACAGGGGTTCAATACTATCCGCAGTTTCAGGCACCTACTGGGAATCTTGGAACAGATCCCTCACAGATGGGGGAGGCTACTATATATAAATATACTGTATACAAATATAATATACTATAATGTATAAAACAACTATACCTGACCTAACAGTTTAAATATAATTCAGAAAAATAAAAATATGCCCTTGCTGAATAAGTATATTGTTATAGAATTAGCAGAGTGAAAAGTAATATTATTTTATTTAAAATGAAATAATAAAAACCTTATCGTTGTTTAGAAAAATGCTTTGAAATTCAAGACATAAAAAATAGTGATGGGTTAGAAAATAATCATAACTATTTACAGCATACAATCCTTTGTAGTGTTTGGAGAACTCTTGAAAGGTTAATATTTGTCTTCCTGCGATAGGTTAATTTTGATGAGGGTGAATTTGATGTTGGACTTCCATGCATCTTGAGACCTTCATTTTATTTCAGTGGAACCGTGGCATGAGTGTGCCCCCCAAACCCGGCGTTGCGCTTCTGAGCTCCCTCCCACATGTACAGAACAGTTCACGTTACAGAACAGTTGTGTTTGTAATACACAATTTGACTTATTCCAAAAACCAAGAGCAAACAAACAAAGCCCCAAAACTCACAGCTGTTTCATTTTAGCCCAGACAGTTGTCTCTTTATCACTGTGCTCACACTTGGCTGATGACACACTGTTTGGCACAACAGTTGCTTGTTTGGGCACTCTTAATCCCGTTGCAGGCATCAGGGTTCTGGAGCATAAACAGTCTCAAACAATCGGATCCTGCTTTTTTTTTTTTTTTTTTTTCATTTTCTGTCTCAGAATTGAAGAGACGTGGCGGTTGTGGCAGAAGTTTCTGGATGATTATTCTCGTTTTGAAGATTGGCTCAAGATTTCAGAAAGGACAGCTGCCTTCCCCAGCTCTTCCGGGGTGCTCTATACAGTTGCCAAGGAAGAACTAAAGAAATTTGAGGTGACTTATAATTCCAAATATTTGATCCTTAGTTTGCTATGAGCATAGCCAGTTAATGGTGTCTCAGGACAAAATGACTGTTCAGTTGCACAGTATTTGTTGAAACCGTTGGGTGGTGACTTTGTGGTCATCTTTATTACTGCCTCACAGGTAGGCAAAGAAGGAGGTGGAAAGAGGTTTTTATGTTAAGATTCTCAAGAATTACAAATAAAGTCATATTGGCAAGAAATTCTCTTACAAAGCACAACTCAATATTCCCAAAAAATGTTGGCATTTTTTTAACTTCATAATTCTTTACCATCAACTAAGATGAAAATATGATCTTTCATGCTATCAAAATCTCTCTTCCAAGTATATTTTCTTGATCTTTATTTTATCTAATTAGAGAATAGATATATATATTTTTACATCATTGATAAAGTAGAGTTGGCTCCAGAATTAAATAACACTTTAATCATAAGTCACTTCTAATTAATAATGAAGAGCAGTGCCATTCTTGAGTCGCCAAGACTTTTCAGTTACAGGGACAAAAAATAGCTGCACCAACTCCAGTGTCTGGCCTGCTTGTGCGATCCTGAGTCTGCTCTGTCCCCGCGGGATGATACAACCCTAACACGCTCATTTTCACAGAGGACCTGACATAGCCTAAAGGTCACCATGTTTTCATTTGAAGTTTCTTTTTCCATCAGTTCCTCCTGACAGGCAGATATGTACCCAGAGATATTGACAGCAAAGTCCCGATGCATGTATCTTAACAAAAATCATTCTTGGTTGCTAATTCTGCCCCGAGACCCCTGAGATGCTTAAAAATAAGACTAAATTCCCAACCAAATCCAACTGAATTTATTTTTACCTTGTAATGTCAGTTTATGTGGCATTTACTGAAGCTCTATTAGAGTAAATACAAAGTTTGGTTTTTGTGCTTGTGGGATTTAAAATCAAGGAGTCCTAGGTGAGCAACTATACCAATTTATTAAAAAGCTCAAATGCTATGTAAAGTAAATAAGAGTTATTCTGATGTCCGAGTATGGATTTATGCATAACTCTACCACCAAATTCCAGGAAAATAAGTTCGTATCTAAAATGTTTTCCCATAGAAAATTTCTCGTGAAAAGCCACAGTGGGCCGTATAGTAGAGTTCAGGTCCTCCTGGCGTGAACCAGTGCCAGTGAGGTATTCATGTACTCCATCTCACTATGCTCTGCTTCATAAAGGTTAAACCTTCTATAATTGGCTTATACTACAAAGCAGATTGTGTACGGTCCTTTTTGATGCTATTTTAGACTCTCAGATTTTATGGCAAAAGTTAGCCATATGGTTAGCTTCTATAATAATAACTAATGTTCTTTCTTAAGAAACAAATAAATTTTTAAAAAACCACCAACTGTTGTTTGAGGACAGTCTTTTCCTGTTCAAATGCATGAAAATTTGGGATGGATCTGGGTACCCACCCCAGGGTGCCTGCCATCACTCCAGTGGAAAAACATATTCCGTGACTCCCAGTAATGGCAAAGCTGAACTTCTCTTACTGCTTCATTTTCTGGGGAGTAATTTAAATTGTCTTATAGAATAGGAGATTAGACTTACTAAGACAAAGTCTCTTAAAGCAACTCTCAGAAGGAAAGCCATATCAGAGGCACAGATGTGGTAGCAAATAAACAATGGATTGAACCAAAGGAAGCGGAATTTTGTGATTTAGATGAGTACAGATCACTTGATAGTACAATTTTCTGTCCAATGTCAGGATCAATGTCAGTCATAAATCATATACATGAGTTTGAAAAAAAACTTCATTTTATTTTGGCTAAATGATTCTTACAGTAGGACTATGCTATATTGCAGAGAGAAAGAAGAGTATTTTACTTCAGAAACTCGAAAGTGTACATAGGGTAACCTTAAAAATAAATAGATACAAGTGAATTGGACTATGTTTTAGTCATTTAAAAACTATTCATCGTTAAAAGTGATGGTATAGTGGGCGCCTGGGTGGCTCAGTTGGTTAAGCGACTGCCTTCGGCTCAGGTCATGATCCTGGAGTCCCGGGATCGAGTCCCGCATGGGGCTCCCTGCTCAGCAGGGAGTCTGCTTCTCCCTCTGACCCTCCCCCTCTCATGTGCTCTCTCTCTCTCTCTCTCTCTCTCTCTCATTCTCGCTCTCTCAAATAAATAAAATCTTTAAAAATAAATAAATAAATAAATAAATAAATAAATAAAAGTGATGGTATAGTTATGAAATTTGCCCAAAGTATGTGACCTGGGCCAAGAATGGAGGACGATTGATAGAACATGGTAGAAATAAAAGATTGCAAAAGAAAAATAAATAAATAGACACTACCATGTAAGCTGGTGCATCAGCTCTAAAATGTTTTGTAAAAACTGAGTAATTCATAGGAACAACAAAAAAGAAACAGAGTGTGTTCCGAACTTTCCTCTATTTAAGGTTACTTGTATTTTACTAAATCGCTTTTCTTAAAAGTTAATAACAGCTTGCATTTAGACAACTTCTGCAAAAAGGGGGTTTAATTATTTTAATGGACATCAGAATTAAAGAAGTTTCTGGATTTTTAGGAGCTTACATCTTTCACAGGTAGTTCTTTTCTCAGTATTGACATCAGAAATTTTTGAACCTTTCAGACTCACATTTCAGCACACATAAATATTTGTGTAATCAGTTTGTTTCCTGGGAAATTTTTTTCGGACCGTTCAGTATTTTGAAAACTATAACATAGGAACATGTGTATATTATACATGTATATGTATTTGTGTGTGTGTGTGTATATATATATATATATATATATATATATATAGTTATTCCTGTTTACCAATTTCTCTCATATTTTTGTTTGATCTACGCCCTGTCCTTTAGCCACACTGATCCATTAATCTGGTTCAATAAGGGGAAGTAAACCCTCCTTAGAAATTGTCCTTTCCCTCTCACTGCAGGATGAGGCCAGTGCCCTTGCTGAGAGCCCTTCACTGGTCCTCTCACTGACATGCTTCTCTGTGGTCTTAGGCTTTCCAGCGACAGGTGCACGAGAGCCTCACCCAGCTGGAGCTGATCAACAAGCAGTACCGTCGCCTGGCCAGAGAGAACCGCACCGATTCCGCCTGTAGCCTAAAGCAGATGGTTCACGAAGGCAACCAGAGATGGGACAACCTGCAAAAGCGTGTCACCTCCATCTTGCGCAGACTCAAGGTCTTTCTTAGGCCTCCCCTGTCACTTAGAGACCCAGAGGACGGGAATGGGCCATGCGAACCTATTCAGACACGATCTCAGTGACTTTTATAAGATTGGGATGGCAAGAGTGGTTTTTAGGGTAATTTATATGGTAAAGGATTACAGAGTTCTCATTGTTTGTTGAGAAAGTGACTTTCCAGAAGAACGTTGGAATTGGTAGTGTCATCTCCGTATGTGCATGTGGATTTTAGTTTTTTATCATTTTCTTTTCACATCCAGCATTTCATTGGCCAGCGTGAGGAATTTGAGACTGCTCGGGACAGCATTCTGGTGTGGCTCACAGAGATGGATCTACAACTCACTAATATTGAGCATTTTTCTGAGTGTGACGTTCAAGCTAAAATAAAGCAACTCAAGGTAAGATAGTAGTGATTTTTCAAATTGCGAGGAAGATGCGAAGAGGAAGAGATGTGTAGATCCTTTTGTAAAGAACATAGTAAAGAACTCATTTGAAAAAATTAGTTCTCGATTAAAAAAAATTCAGAAAATATAAAATGTATTAAAAATGAAAAAAAGAACATTACCCAAAGATAACTACCATTAGTCTATATACTTTTCATTATTAACTTCATTGCCAGGGTGTTAGGAATCTTGTTTTTTGGCTGGTTTTTTTTTTTTTTTTCTGCTTTCTTTCTAGCACCTTCAAATAGTTCATTTGACTTCCATGTTCCAACTTGCTCATGTTGGGATTTCATTCCACATATTCCATAGCCGTAGATGCCAAGTTAATTTTTAAGCATATTTGATATGTTTCACCATGCCGTTCCAACACAGTGGCTAACTAAAAATTTGAATAGTGATAACGCATTAGATATAAGGAGTCCCTAAAAGGAAGAGCGTTTTAACAAGTTGAGTATTATGCGAGAATAAATTCTCAGGATGAAAAAAATCATAGATTCTCATAGATTCTCAGGATGAAAAAATCGGAAAGTAGCAAGCCCTGATAGTGAGCCCCACCCCTTCCCCACGGACTCTTCCGAGTCGTTTCACAGACAAACCAATATTTAAAACCTTCAACAGGAAATTTCTACCAAGTGGTAGTTGACTCTTTTTAGACTCAGGAAGGGTCACAGAGCTCACCACCATGCTCCCTTCTCCCAGCAGCCTTTTCCTTAGTGGGTAATTTCAACTATTCCAGGGTTTATTCTTATGTTGCATTAAAATTTGTCCCTGAAATCTGTCCCCACTAGCTTAACTCTTTTCAACTTTATAGAATGAGTCTAAATAATCCCCCAGAATTCCTTGTTTTTCAGATAATTATAATCTTTTCTGATCATGTCCTGAACCAATAAAAGAATCATCTGAGAAGAATCTGTGACATTATCATTTGGATGGTTTCTCTTAGTCATGTTTGACATATCATCAGAAAATCTAAAAATATTTAATTAACTCTCTAAAATGTTAAATTTATTTCAGTGGCATTATATTGCTTACCATTGCTTTTCATTAGGGATAACCAGTGCTATCAACTTTATGATGGGTTTAAATGTTTTTCCTGTGATTCTCTACCCACACTGTCTGTGGCGGTAAATTTCATTAGCCGAAGGCGCCTTTCTGGTCATGGAATTCTGACGATTCCATTTCTGACTCCTGTTCTGATTTAAAATTTTTATGTTTGACTTTCGAAAGTAATAGCTTCTTGGCTTGTCACTGTATATGGTAAATTCAATATCCCCTGCATGGTTTTTCTAAGTATATATCTTATAATTATTTCATGTCACTGTGAACAATAAAAAAATTACACAAGATTTGTGTTCTCCAGGCCTTCCAGCAGGAAATTTCACTGAACCACAATAAGATTGAGCAGATAATTGCCCAAGGAGAACAGCTTATAGAAAAGAGTGAGCCTTTGGATGCGGCCGTCATCGAGGAAGAACTGGATGAACTCCGGCGTTACTGTCAGGAGGTCTTCGGGCGCGTGGAAAGATACCATAAGAAACTGATTCGCCTGCCTGTATGTGATCTGGTGTTTTTTGTTTGTTTGTTTGTTTTTTCATTGTTACTATGTCTAAAGAGAATTAGTTACGTGGGGTTAGGTAGCATTGGACAGTGGGTTCCAATCTGAGCTCTGACATGTGTTGGCTACATAACCTTGGGCATGTTACTTCACGTCTCTTGCCTTGGTGTCCTCAACTGTGACACTGGTTTAATACTACTACCTACCTTGTAGACAGGATTGCTTCGGGTATGAAACAATTAATATACATGTAAAAACCTTAGAGAGTACTGGCACATATCTTCTATGGGAGATAAAGACGCTTCTAGAAGAAATAAGGAGATGAAAGTGAGCAATGCAAACAGTTGCTCAGTTGGTGAATTTGTTTAGTTGAATTTTTTTTTCTCTTCCACTTTCCTAATTGCTACCACAGTCACGTCACAAAATGTTATTAGAATATTTGGAATATTCTGTGATAAAATATATCTTGCTTCTGGGATATAAGGTAAAAAAGGACCAGGTAAAGTTTTATTAGTAACCCCCTTTTGTTCCTGAAATCTGCCATTGTGTAACTATTGTATTGCAGGCACACTACTAGGCTGCCATCTTCTTTTATCTAACTATTTGAAGTATGTTTTAATATTCTTTCCGTTTCACCAGTGATAAAACCTGGAGCTTTGGTAGATTATAAGACATTTTTTAAGTGATCAGAGGATTCCTACTTATTTGATGATAGGAAGTTATAGATTTCCCCCACTGAGGTAGGAATACGGCCCAGATAAGCTCAAACCCTGAGATTTGGTGAGAGGCAGAGCAAGAAGTGGTAAGGGCAGCATCTGACCACTGCGGTGATGGAGTTGGCTTGACTACATTTCTAGCTCCCGGATGATGAGCATGACCTCTCTGACCGGGAGCTGGAGCTGGATGACTCTGCAGCTCTCTCGGACCTCCACTGGCGTGACACCTCTGTGGACGGCGTGCTTTCCCCCCAGCCTTCCTCCAACCCCTCCCTCTCACTCGCCCAGCCCCTGCGGAGCGAGCGGTCTGGACGAGACACCCCTGCCAGTGTGGACTCCATCCCCCTGGAGTGGGACCATGACTATGACCTCAGTCGTGACCTGGAGTCCGCTGTGTCCAGAACTCTGCCCTCTGAGGATGAAGAGGGTCAGGATGATAAAGATTTCTACCTCAGCGGAGCTGTTGGCTTATCAGGTAGGAAAGAGCTTTTCCAATAGGCCAACTTGAAAGAAAATAAAAAGGACTGAATATTGTATTTGAAATGTGTAAACTAAACAGAATCCTCTTCTTTCTTTCTCCATTAGAATAAATTGCACATAATAGAATAATTGGGTATTAATGTGATTATCAAATCCCAAAATTGGCATGACCATTGGTTTATCCCACATAGACTTACATTCTTACTGTGGGACAAGCACTGTGTAAGTATTAGGAACACATGGTTCCTTTTGTTCTCAAAGAACTTATACTCTGCTGTGGAACACAGACAGATAAGCAACAGCTGTGTGAAACGTTGGTGCTACAATGTAATGTACACGGGGTGGTACAGAAACACAGCCAAGGGTGACTAACCAGAGCTTTGAGGAAAGGCTTTAGGGAAAAGACTCTTGAGCTGAGACCCAAAGGATAAATGGGAGTCAGTTAGTTAGACACGGTGAAGTTCAGAGGAAGAGAGGAGAGGGTGCCCACCCAGCTTGATGATCAGCCACAGAGCTTTTGGTCACCCGAAGTTCGTCCAGAATGACAAGGCTGTAGACTGAGAGACACAGAGTGGACAAAGAGGAGATGGAAAGGCAAACCAGGACCTGGTCAAATAGCAGCCTACTTGCCCTGGAAGGGTATTCTCTCCTGAAGGTGCTGGGGCACCACTGCTGATCTCTAAGCAGGAGGTGACATGATCAGATACATACTTTCACAGAACCTGTCTCAATACTTTATGGAAGGTATGACATTGGAGAAAAGCTCAGATGGAAACATTTTATGATCAAGGATAGAGAGATGATGGTGGCCTGAACTAAGGAACAACACTGGGGGATAGAGAGAATGGAAGAGAAGTGACAAATCGTGACAAGCCTCCTCCTTAAGTGATGGTTGATTGAACTGGGATTGAGCTGACTTTCAGACTTGGGTATCTTGGTGAAAGGTACAGGTAGCCTGAGGCCCTGAGGACCACAAGAGGGAGAGAATGTTGTGGGTGTCTGTGGTGTGCACACCCTGAATTCGAGATACTGTAGAATATATAAATGGAATACCCGGCAGTAGTTGCATGGGTCTGAAGTTCTAGAACTAGAAATGCAGATTAGGTGGCTATCCACATATACATGGTAATTGTCCATGAGGGAAGGGAGGAAATCACCCGAGAAAAATGTATAAAGCCAAACAAGAAAGACGAAACTGTAGTGAAGGGGTGGACAGAAAAAGAGGAACATTGTAGGAAGGTGAGTAAAAATAGAAGAAAGAATCAGAGGCCAATTCGCAGCACTTGTAAATGTGTCTCACACATTCTCCAAAAGGGCGTCTCTGCTTGTCTCTGATGGTTCACATTTGGATTCCCAAGGGTATGACACTATCTAAAAAGAAAAGATTTCCCTCATTTTTATTTTGTCTTTACAGCAGAGCCCAATAGGCATTTCTTATCTATCGCGGTGCTCTCCGGTATGTAGCCATTAGCCACACGTGACTGAACATATCGAGCCCTGAAATGTGACCTTGCAAAATTGAGATTTGCTGTGTCAAATGCACTTATGTGAATTCACAAGTTTTGAAGACTTAGCACAAAGAAAGAATGTAAAACAGTAATAATATTTATGGTGATTACACGTCATAATTCAGGTGTATTGGTTTAGCAAAGTAAAGCACTAAAATTATTTTCATCTGTTTCTTGTTACTTTTCTTAATGTGGCTCTTAGAACCACTAAAATGACATATGTAGCTCACTTTATTTCTACTGGACGGAAATCTGCTGCTCTAGAATCTGTCTGGATTGAAATCTCAGTTCCGCCAATTACTACCTGTTGAAACTTGGATAGGTCATTTAATTCCTCTGGATCTCAGCTTTCTTATCAATAAAATGGGAATAAGACTTCCATGCACCCTGTAGGGTTTCTTCAAAGATAAATGGGTGCTTAGAATGGTGCTTGGCTCATAAAACAGTCTCAGTGTGAGCTCTGATGGTTTATTTCAGGAAACCTTCTGTGAGCACGCTCACACTCCTCTGTATATTCCTCTGTCTGTCTAGAGTGACTAACCTTTTTTTCCCTAGGAAAGTTAATTCCCGCCACAAGGAATCTAGCTGTCAACTTAGACTGTGCTCTTTTTGCAGATGTAATGATCCCCGAAAGTCCTGAGGCCTATGTAAAACTCACAGAAAGTGCAATCAGAAATACCTCTGGTAGGCACAAAATGCCAAAGCAAGCCCCCCCCCCACCTGTAACAAGCCTCCTCTCTCAGCACATCTGCTGTCCCTCTCACAGCTCTGTGGCACCAGCATGTTAAGGAACCACCTCCTTCTCTTGCTGCTGCAGTAGAAACAGACAAACAAAACCCCATTCTGTTGATCAACACCAAGAATAAGATTTTAGTAATCAAGTTTCAGTGAAACGACTTCTCAGCTTGTTAAATGGGAATGGGTCTCATTAGGTATAGACCTATGATGAAAATGGGAGATGGAAGTGCTAGTCTTCAGCATCTGTGCCCTGCTCGAGGGTAGCCGTACTGATTTCGTGACTTGCAGGACTCATAGACTTACCTGCACCTCGGCAGTCGGGGCTCAGGGCTCCCGGCCTGCATACGTGACCTCAGGCCCACCATTCATCCTCCTGGTCTCAAGGGCCACATATAAGATCAGGGGTGAGACCAGATGTCTGGCTCTAAAAAAAAATTGTAATTGACCTTAATAAGTCTTACCCCATAAAATAAAGAAAGGAAAATGGAACCAGTTTTGTTTAATGTTGCACTAGATAAACTATAGGTCAGCATAGCTGAGCATTTTGGGGGACGGTGGAGAGAATAGGGTTTGAACACAACGATGCAAAACTGAATTGTAAGGGTATAAGTTTACACTAGTTTTTGAAGCCAAGTAGCATTACTGAAATGGTGACTTCCTCAGTGATACCCAGTGAGAGACCTCTTCCAGGTGTATTTAGAAGGCCTTTTTTCAAAAAAAAATTAATAAAGCTTACTAATATATGTTCTGCTTTCACCCTGCATTAGCTTCACTCTGACAATCAATGTTCAGTTCAAAAACCATAACACACGCACGTGCACACACATTTTGCGCACACACACACATCATACTTTGAAAGGCGATGAGCCAGGAGTTCCAGGCTCTAAGAGCACGCTTAGATGCAAATACTAAAATCTTAGCTTTCTCCTGGTTTTGGTTTGGGTTTTAAACAAAAGCAAGCCATTGGTAGTTTGGTGTCTCCACCCATATGTAACCTGAACTAGTCTCTTCTTGGTTAACTTGAAGTCATAGCTTAAGCGAATGATGCAGCCCAGGGTGACTGTCTTCTATGAGCACTACCTTCTGTTGAGATGCAGAAGGAAAACAGGGTTATATCTTTTTCTGCTTGATAAGTGCCTACAGAGGGAATATGAGAAATAGCTGCATCTTGGTTTGGGGGCAGCAAAAGGCACCACCCTAACCTTTTGGAGAGGCCTCCCACAGCTTACAACATGTAGGTTTTCAGGGAATCAGCTGGAAGCAGAGCAGACACACAGTCTGTTAGAGCCCCCTGCAGAGCCCTTTTTCAGTATCTGGCCTGCTAGGACTCTGAGCCAACCACATTCATTGATTGGTCTGGTCTTTGAACTTCTAACTCACCAGCACGTTAGTACTAAATTTGCTTTGTAATGACGCACACATACTCCCTTTCTGTACCGCCTTAGCCAAAGTAATTTCTCAGACTTCTCCTTGAATGTCAAGCGTGTTAAAGGTTCTTGTGGTTGACACTGTAGGAGCTCCCAGTGCCTTCGAGTCGCAGATCCGACAACTGGACAAAGCCCTGGATGAGAGCCGTTTTCAGATGCAGCAAACTGAAAATATTATCCGCAGCAAAACTCCCACGGGACCGGAGCTAGACTCCAGCTACAGAGGCTATGTGAGTATCCTGACCCTTGTGATGCCAGCAAGCCCCTGGGAATCATAACCGTCCATCTGCGGCCCAGGGCTCTCTGAGCTATCGAAGCACCATGCCGTCCTTGAGCTCATGGGCTCGTGTGTACAAAACGAAGCCGCACTAGCAGGCTCCCTTTTGAGTAAAACGGGCCCATGCTCAGATGCACTGACCTACTGCAGTGACCAGCCTGTTCCTTTACATGGAGAACTCCATGAGATCCATTTAATTGAAAGCAACAAAATGCTTTGGCTCCCAAAAGTGATTAGGCATTTTTCCAAACTCAGCTAATAATTTTGGGGCCAAGGTTATCCTTGGAGCAGCAGATTTAGCTAATAGATTACTAACACGGAATATACTAAGCATGCAATAACCCCTTTCCTGGGGTTTATTGATTCACTTACTGGCTTTAGGAATATTTTTATCCTCTGTTATCAGTATGCTCATTCTGGAGAAAACAAATCTGACTAACAAGAGGGATTTGAAGAACAGATGGCAAAAGATTGTATATATTACTAACTTCTATTTTCAAAGTTCATACCTAATAAAGTATATACTGAATTTATTTGCTCTGCTCAAGTTACTGACCAAGTAATTTTTCTTGGAGAACTACCCATTTTCCTACACATACTTAAGAAAGAGAATTTAAAAGTAAATCTCTTCCATGGCTCATACTTTCTTTTCACACCCAAAAGACTGCCTAGTAAAAGGAAAGAAAAATTAATTTCCCTAAGTCTAGTGACAACTCCAATGTACTGATTTTTGAAACCAGAGAAGAGAACTGTTGTAGTTTATATATGCTGATATTAATGTCACAATTACAGAAGAGTAATCAATCATGAGTTTATTTCCTGTTTAGTTTGGCCTGTTATACCAACTTCTATTATAGTGAAACTTATTTTTTTTTAATATAATAAGATTTCATGGTGATCATGCTGACATCACTGAGATTGTACTCAGTCTCAGTCAAAAATAGTCAAACATCATAGCAGTGTGATTTGTTAAAGGCTTTGAAACGTAACTTTATGGTTAGAGCAAGAGTTCTTTGCTGTGCATGACGTTAAAGTTGGAGTTGGAAGGTTTTCCTTTGATGTTAGAATTTATTCCCTTAACACCTATTAAACATTGCTTAAATTTTCTTATGAAACAGCTGGCTTTAATAGTACTTTCTGCTTTTAAGTATTTTAATTATTTAATGCAAAAAAAATGTTCCTTTGAGATTTGTGGTAATATTATTGTTCCCACATTTCAGTTTAAGAAAGAAGAAGCAAGTTGCCAAAAATTATATATTGTATTACCAGCTGAGGGCTCTGAGTTTGAAATCCCAGATTGGTTTTTAGTCTAAAACAGACAGAGATATAAAAGAAATTCTGAGGGATTCTCATGCAAAACCCAGTATGTGAAGCATATCTTCAAGGCACTGTTCTGCGTGTGTATGAATGTGTCCTGTGTCGCAGGAACGTGTTTTTGAACTTGATTTTTTGTTTTTAGCAGACTTTCTTTTTTCCATAGAGCAGTAAAACACAGCCACTGTCCTTTTTAAGGAACTAGAAAGATCTTTTCCCCCAGAAACTCGTGTACTTGTGAGAATCTGAGAATTCTGTGAAGGGCCTGTTTTCTGTGTCTCAACAGATGAAATTGCTGAGTGAGTGCAGCGGAAGTATAGACTCAGTGAAGAGACTAGAACACAAACTGAAGGAGGAAGAAGAGAATTTCCCCGGCTTTGTTAACCTGAATACAACGGAAACCCAAACAGCTGGTGAGTGAATAGTGCAGGTCAGGAAAGAGGGAAACAGAAGATCCTGAAGCACCTTGTTGCCCCTGTGTTACCCTGTGCCCCTCAATTCGCTCTGCATGATTCTCCCCTGAGAGCTTTCCTCCACGTTACGATGATCTCCTGACAGAAGGGGGTAGGGAACGCATCCCGTTTATTTGAATGCACTTTCTCTAACATTTTTTTTAAAAGATTTTATTTATTTATTTGACAGAGATAGAGAGAGAACACAAGTAGGCAGAGTGGAAGGCAGAGGGAGAGGGAGAAGCAGGCTCTCTGCTGAGCAGGGAGCCTGATGCAGAGCTTGATCCCAGGACCCCGGGATCATGACCTGAGCCGAAGGCAGACACTTAACCGACTAACCGCCCAGGCACCCCTCTCTCTAACATCTCTTGTCTGGCATTTTATTTTATTTTATTTTATTTTATTTTATTTTATTTTATTTTATTTTATTTTATTTTTAAAGCTTTATTTATTTGAGAGAGAGAGAAAGAGTGTGAGTAGGGGGAAGGGGCAGAGGAAGAGGGAGAAGGAGAATCTCAAGCAGACTCCACACTGAGCACAGAGCCCAACACGGGGCCCAATCTCAGAACCCTGAGATCATGACCTGAGCTGAAACCAAGAGTCAGCGCTTAACCGACAGAGCCACCCAGGCGCCCCTCATGTGGCATTTTATATATGTGCTCTCCAAGTTCTGTTGCAAAAAGAAACCAGTTGAATATCATCTTCATGCACTTTACTGCTTATTACTTCATAAAGCTCTTTTTGGTATAAATCCTATGTAGTTTTTTTTTTTTTTTACCCCATTATCATTAAAAATGCGGATAGGATAAACACAGCCATTATACTGTTTTGTTTTGGTTTTTGTTTTGTTTTTACACTGACAACAACAGAAGTGCCTGCTAGAATTACTTTTCTTTCTGTTGTTACTTATACATAACCACCGATGTATCTTTGAAGCATCTCCCAAACACCCTGCATGGAGAAACGCAGCTCACGCATCTGTGTGTGTTGGGTCCTGTAGGTGTGATTGACCGGTGGGAACTCATCCAGGCCCAGGCCCTGAGCAAGGAACTGAGAATGAAACAGAACCTCCAGAAGTGGCAGCAGTTCCACACGGACCTGAACAACATCTGGACGTGGCTGGGGGAGATGGAACAGGAGCTGGAGCAGCTGCGGCACCTGGACCTCAGCACTGACATCCAGGCTATCGAGCTCCAAATAAAAAAGCTCAAGGTAGCTGCCCTCAGCCTTTCCCACGGGGGCCAGACAGAGAACTGCCCCATGGACTGCCTGGCCCGATGAAACCACTAGCTCTAGCTGGTCTGTTATCACCCAGCTGCGGGGAAGTTGTCAACAGAAATGAACACAAATGCCCAACCGTCCCAAACCAGTATTTACAGAACAGGTTTGGAAGGGCAGAAAGATGGACCACGTCGTAGAACCAGCCCCCGTGTAAATAATCATATATGATTTAATGACTTAGTTCTTAAGGAATGACTAATATTAAAAGTTTGTGAAACATCCAGGGACCTCTGGGACCTCTTTACCCTCTTTTAAGGGAAATGCAGAAATGACCGGGTTCCTGCAAGTCTGTATCTAGAGCTAGAGAGGTTTCCTCTCCAAGACTGTGTCTCTCTGACTTTGTAGAGACGTAGTGGAATTGTTTGACATTCTGGAAAGAGCAGAACATCTGAAATAGATTATAGTAGTAAAAGAAGCAATATGCAGTGTAATGAATACAACAAAATAAAACTGTGGAGTAATGATGGTAAAACACCTGGCATGTGCACTTGATTTTGGCCTGGATGGGTGTCCGCCCGCACGGGATAATGTCCTCTAGCTCCATCTCCAGGTCTTAACACTCCTCCGTAGCACAATTCTTGAAATGCATTACTCTGTGGAGACTTTTGTAAGCATACTCTGGATTGAGAGCCCAGTTTGTTTTTAATAGCTCCTTCAGTCCTTTCTTTTTGTTTGGAGAACATCAAGGTGTGCTCTTCCTCAGAATGGAGCTACCTAGGCTCTCCAGGCTCAAGGGTTAAGTGAGCTGCATTTGTGTCTCTCGGGTTTTGTGTATGTTATTTATTTTGAGGTGATGTTTTGGTGGCTTGTTTTGTTTGTTGCTTGTTTTAAATTTGCAGAGAAATGAGTCTTCCCCACTGTTGCTCAGATTTCTTCTTATAGAATAGCCTCTGCACCAGCCCCATCAATTTCTGGATGAAGCATCAGATGGGAGATGCGATTTATATTATCTGGATTATAAAATGCGTTTGTCTCTAGCGTACTTAAATTATTTTATTTCCTCTCTGGGAAAATGTAAGGCAGTGTGTATGATGACCAAACTCCTTAAAAAGTTGATAAAGCAAATGTTGGCCGGAGTCTGAGACCTAAGTGAGATTAGGGTGGGAAAAGGAGACCTTGAAAGTCAACCTGTGTGATAAGAAAAAGCCACCCGCTGTGTGCCTTCCCCAGTCCTTCCTGTCTGTTTCCTGAATATAAGTCTGTGGAAAAACCAAGGATCTTTCCACAGTATCTCTTGATCTTATAATATCTCTGTGGTCAAATCTATATTACTGCATTTTAAGAATCTATTGGAAAGTGAAAAATTAAGACAAGCTGGAGACATAACAGAAATGTTGAGAACTTAGAAGAAAATGTAGCGTGGGTAGTTGTGATTTGCAGGATCACTGACCCTGAACTAATCTGGGGATGTTTAAACAGTACCCAGATATTGAATCATTAATGCATAATCATGTGCTGCCCAAGTTGTTGGAATAGTTCTAGATTTGTGGGAAATGCATAAAGCAAAAATCAAGTTGCCTAGTTTTTTGTGAAATCAAAGTGAATTGGTTAGCTGTTGAAATACCCAATCCATTCTCTTCACCATCACAAGAATGTGGCCTATGACATTGGCAGGGTTCTCCCCTTGTGGGCCACTAACTCTCTGTGCCTACCAAGTCCAAACAGCTAGAGGCTGAGGCCTGGGAATCTGCCTTCTTAGCAAGTTTCCCATTTCATTCTTTTGCACACAACTTTAAGTCCCATTGGTCTAGTGATGAGATTCTTACACTAGAACATCTCCTGCTGCCCAGAACCCTTAGAGCCAGGTCTGGGTTTGTTTTGTTTTATTGTTGTTGAACTCCTGTGCTGTGGGTTGAGCTCATCAGACTTCTTAGTTCAGTGCACAGGGTCATCAGCGCTTCCTGCAAAGTTCCTCTTAATTTTGTTTATTTATCCTATTCCACCACTGTTTTCTAATCTCCATTCCTGAAACCCGTGGCAACCATTCTTAAATACTGAATGAGTATTCATTCATATGTGCATGAAAAATGTGGATTTGTATGTGTGCACGTGCCTTTTAAATCACATAAATGCTCTCATATTACACACATTGTTCTGTTTCTGACTCTTTCACTCTAACACCATATTTTAAAACCTATTCAGGTTGTCAAGTGTACATCGAATCCATTTCCTTTAACTACAGTGTGGCCCTCAGTGGTGTGCATCACTGTCTCTTATCTAGCCATTCGGTTAAGGCCAGTTTTACTGAATGGATCTTAATTTGGGTGAAGCATTTCCTAAGGTCTTAAACTATGCTCTAAATGTTTTTATAATTATTTTCTTTCTTTGGTTGCTCTCCTTTCTCTTTATAGGAGCTCCAGAAAGCTGTGGACCACCGGAAAGCCATCATCCTTTCCATCAACCTGTGCAGCAACGAGTTCACCCAGCCTGGCAGTGAGAAAAGCCAGGATCTGCAAGATCGCTTGTCCCAGATGAACGGGCGCTGGGACCGGGTGTGCTCACTGCTGGAAGAGTGGCGGGGCCTGCTCCAGGATGCACTGATGCAGTGTCAGGTTTGTGGGAGTCAGACATTTCCAGTGTAGCTGAGTCTGGGACTTGATTTATCAAGGTCACTTCGAGGGATGCAGTCGCTCCCCAAAGCCAGGATTTGAATGAGATAACTTTGTGCCCAAACTATTCATTACACTGGAGAGTCTGTACATCTGGACCCCATCTTTTATCCAGCTAACTGGACTATTCCCACAAGTTTATCTCAGCCCCAACTCATTCATTCATTCATTCATTCATTCATTCAACAGATATTTACTGAGCACGTTGGGAGACATTTCCTGAACATGAAAGTGAGCATTACAAATATTTACTCATCCATTCGACCACAATTATTTGATGAGTGCCCACTCTCTGACAGATATTGTGCAGAGCAGTCAGGATACAACAAAGCCTCTACTTTTGTTGGGGAAGACAAACAGTAAAAATGCAAGTAATTGCTGGGACACCTGGGTGGCTCAGTCAATTGGGCATCTGCCTTCAGCTCAGGTCATGATCCCGGGGTCCTGGGATCAAGTCCCGCACTGGGCTTCTTGCTCAGCGGGGAGCCTGCTTCTCCCTCTGCCTGCCATTCCTCCTGCTTGTGCTCTCTCTCTCACACACAAATAAATACATTAAAAAATGCAAGTAATTGCTTAACCAAGATGCTTACAAGTGTGGATGATAAGAGTAACTGAGAAAAGCCACTTTGGGATAGAGGTCAGGGAATTTCTATGAATCTTTGGGCTGACACTGGAGGAATATTGCCAGACAGAGCCAATGGGATGTCCCAGAAACAGGAAAGGGCTTAGTGTCTTTAAGGTCAGAAAAGAGGCCAGTGGGGTCAGAATGTAGTCAGAGGGGCAGGGATAAGAAAGATCAGGGAGATGCTTAGCAACCAGATCATGCAGGGTCTTGTAGGTCCTGATGAGGAGCGGATTGTCTTCTGAGCACAGTGTAAACCTGCTTCCCAGGTTTGCATGTGCCCCAAGAATACCTTGAAAGCAGGTACGCAAGCTGTTGTCTCACCCCTCACCCCCCCTAGCCCTGTGCGTAAGGGGTTTTCAGTAACTGCATGTTGAATAAATGAATGAACAAATGGATGAATGAAGGATATAGGGATCAGATGAAGGCCTTACAAGATGGGAAGGTTTGAATACAGGGAAAAGGGAGAAGAGTCGCTTCCTTCCAAACCATATAGTAACCCTAGAAATTAAGTATTTGATGCCAGGTTTTCCTTATGTCTAAATTCTCCCTCAAATAACAAACTAGATGCTTTTGGTGAGAATGTGAACTCAGAAAATTGCCACAGCACCAGGGCCTTTCTCAGGAAGGAGTTGTGCATAAGACCTTAAATCCAACGTATCTTTGCCAGTGGTAGCAATTGTAAAGAGTGGAAACTTAAGCTGTGAGGGAAAGAAGAATATATTATTCATGATGATTTTATACTCCATTTTTTTTCTTCATAGGATTTCCATGAAATGAGTCATGGTTTGCTTCTTATGCTGGAGAACATTGACAGAAGGAAAAATGAAATTGTCCCTATTGATTCTAACCAGGATGCAGAGACACTTCAGGACCATCACAAACAGCTTATGGTAAGATGCGTGAGCTCTGACGGCCTGGCTATTCATAGCAGTCATCCATTTCATTTACAGAAAAAGAATGGAGGTGATTTTTTTTTTTTTTTTTTTTTTTTTTTTACCTTTTGCATGCTGGTCTCTAATTTTCTCTTTTTTATTTGTTAAGTTTCTGATTTTTGTGAGGCAAACGTGCTTATAGAAGATGACATCTACCAGCTTTAGAATCTGGTTCTAAAGTCATTGCTCAATTGTAGAGATCTTAATTAGTTCTTCATCTTAATTAGGTTGTTTTTACTAAAGCAGATCTTTGGCAATTGCACTTATTTTTAATTTAAACTGTATTGGTTACATCTATGTATAAAGTAAGAGTGTATTGAGTTGCTTAAATTTTATTTTTATGGACATTGAAACTATTAAAATAGAAAGAGACCATTAAGACTTCTTAGAAGAAATTAAATGGGGGGTGCCTGAGTGGCTTAGTCAGTTCAGCAACTGCCTTTGGCTCAGGTCATGATCCCAGGGTCCTGGGATCAAGCCCCACATCAGGCTCCCTCCTCAGCAGGGGAGTCTGCTTCTCCCCCTTGCCCTCTCATGCTCTCTCTCACTCACTGTCTCTCTTTCAAATAAATAAATAAAACCTTAAAAGAAGAAATTAAGTGTATCAGATTTAACAGTAACCTTGTCACCAAGTTTTGTGAAAATGAAGACAAAAGGTAAATGTGAAAAGTTATTTTCATTATATGAGAAAAAGAAAACATGCCAGTTCTCAAGGAGAAAGAAACTTTTTCTAGCACTGAATTCAAAAGGAAATTTGCAGAATCTCTGCATAGATTCTTATGCAAAGGACTTTGGACAATATAATGTACAGTGTACTTAAGGGATTTTATAGAAGATAAAGCAGTATATTTGAGTTCCATTAGGAGAAAATGATTTGCATTTTGTAGTTTTCTGTATTTTTAAAATGTCATTTCTCAACATTTAATGCTTACTAACCTAACCAACAGAATTGGTAGCTTTTAATTCAGTGCCATAAAGGTCTTAGAAACCAAGAGGGAATAGCTATGCAATGGCATTTTTACTGACTTTTGACCTCAGACATTAGTTGTAAATAATGAATCACTACTATATCCTTCAAAAAAATCTTGGGCAAAGATCAGAGTATATACTTAGACATATGTGAGTTTTGCTATATTTATATGTTAATGTTTCACTTTCTGTATAAAAGAATATCTTACGTCTCTTTTGCATAATACTTGATATTTTAAGCACATTCACATATATTCACCAGTTTGAACCTTCCAATATACTTACTGTGGACCAGGCAGGAAACGGTATTATCATTTTCCGAAATGAGAAAACTTGAGACCAGAAAGGTTCAGGGGCCTTATAAACTGTTTTTGGCAGAGGCAGGGTTAGAACCCAGACCCCCGATTCCTGAATGCCAGGGGCTGCTTCATTCTTCCCTATGTGAGCACAGCATTCAGATACTCAGGTTTAATTGTCCACTAAGTTAAACTGATGTCATTCTGCCTTTTTGGAATTTTCCCCAATTACCGAAAGCTCTTAGTAAAGCATTTCTTATCGCACACATAGCAAATAAGGCATGAGCTCTTGGAATCCCAACTCAGAGTGGCCTCACTGCAAGACATGTCTTGCCAACTCCTGGTGAATGCTGAAGGCACAGACTGTTTAGAAGCCAAAGAAAAAGTCCATGTGATTGGAAATCGGCTCAGACTTCTCTTGAAGGAGGTCAGTCGTCACATCAAGGAGCTGGAGAAGCTATTAGACATGGCAAGCAGTCAGCAGGTAAGCTCTAAGCAGACATCATTGTTAGCATTTCTTACAGGAAACCAAAGAAGCATCATCTTTATCCATTTTTAGAAGGACTTTGAATATAGTACTTGTCAGGATAGAGTGCCTGCTCTCAATCACTGCTCTTACGAGTCCTGTCTCAAAATAAAAAAAGGGACTCATAAACTTTTATAATAGGACACTGCTTTTGATTCTATTATATCAAAAAAACCTCTTGCAATTGTTACTGCTGACCCTTTACCATCTCTACTGTGGCATTGTATTTTACCCTGTTTATTTAAGAATTCACATGTGTTCAGTCACACGGGTGAGGCAGATCATAACCAATCATTGCATATGAGTTTTGTATTCAAACACCAGAAGGCATGAGTTCTCCTGACATAGACAGCAGTTAATTCATAGAAAATGTCCTCCACTCCTTTACTTTTTATATTTTCTTTTCTTAAACCTACTGCATCGTGGTAGTATTATTAGTTTTGAGAAATGCATTTGTAGATACAGAGATGCTTGGTAAGACTTCAAACAATCGGTTGCAAAATCTTGGTTTGAACACACAGACGCCCTGCACTCTCATAAGCCTGCAAAGGAGCGGTCTACTCTGAATAACAGAGTAGTGTAAGACATACTACAAAAGCAGGCTCCTGGATGAATATCTTTTGTTTCTAACTCAAATGAATTGGTTTCTCTCTGGTCCAAGAGACCTGTAGTGTAAGACCAATTCCTTCACCTCCTTCACTTCCACTCGTCCACATCTGTGTCACTAAGAAATGAGAAAGCTGCAAGTGACATAGTAATTTCAAAACTATACCTCTATTTTCCAGCAGGACCAAATACACAACCAGAAAATGCCTAATACACTAGAAGAATTAGGTTCTGTTCTTAGAGTTGTCTGATTCTATTTTTCCCAAGGAATGGTTCAGTTTTTATGGAGGATGGGTGGGGATGGGCTGGTAAATGCATTGTGGATTACCAAGTCATCACAACTTTGGGACATGGAGTCATTAAAGGAATCTATTTCCTATGTAGGATTTGTCTTCCTGGTCTTCTGCTGATGAACTGGACACCTCGGGATCTGTGAGTCCTGCGTCCGGAAGAAGCACCCCCAACAGACAAAGAACGGTAACTTTCCACTGGTCCTTTTCAGTTGGCCCATGGGAGGGAATGCTGGGGAGCAACAGTATCTGTACCTACCTCAGGGTCCACAGGCTCCCCCTGGGGAAAGCAGGAGTTCCCCTACAGAGGAGGGTGGTCACACAGTAACACAGTGAAGTGTTGTTTCCTCAGCCCTGCGGCATGCCCTCCCCACATGCGCTCAGGAACGGAAAAGAACATTCTGTTTTTCAAAAGAAGGAGGGCTCAATGTGTGGTTGGTACAGGGAGACAAATTAGTTCTCTTGCTCCAAGGGCCATCGCTAGAATGGTGTTCCCTTGTTTCTTTGGTGGCTCCTCCCTTCAAACCACTACCATCATAGTTCACCTAAAAAAGTAGGTTCTGTGTAAAGGGGCGCCTCAGCCAGAGCAGACAAAACTGTGTGAGTGTCTCATGAGACCATTGAATGTATGAGACAAGTGGAGGTTCTGTTGAACTCTCAAGCGAAGAAACTCCTGAAGGTGGTTCTGAAGGTTTTTGATGACTGTGCTGCCCGCAAAGAGGCAACAGCTCAAGAGGACTCAGCCACAGAGCCTTTGGGAGGCTGCCTCACTGGCATCCTGTGAGAACGGAAGGACGAATCTGGCCCCTGCTACCCTCTATACTTTGATTTCTCTGTGTAATTAGAAGCTTGTTTTTGTTTTGTTTTGGGTTTTTTTTGTCCAGCTTTATGATTATATTCATTTTTATTACATTCCATTTTCCTTAGTTTTTAGAAGTATTGACTTTGTTTGTACTTTTTTTGTTATAAACACTTAAGTTCTATGCTGATAAATGTTATTATCTTATTTAGGATTTTTTTTTTACTACATTCACTAGTTTCCTATAGATCCTAGTTTAAGAATGTGAAGGAATACTGGCTTTTCGAGTCAAATTCTAACCCTGATTTAATCTGTTGGGTCCTCATCATTCTACAAAGAAAAATCTCGTATTGCCATTGTTATTTATTTATCTACCAAGAATTTTGATACTGTTTCAGTGTTCTAGAAGACAAAAATATAAGGCGTGCTGACCTATATATTTATTGTCAGTAAATCCTTGGCTGGTGTAGAGTCACCTGTGTATCCACCATGAAAAATGGGGGAAAATATACCCACTGTGGTGGGGACTCCCGAACCACAGTTTCTGTTTCCTTGGTGACCAATGATAGAGATGTGAATTTATTTCACTTCTTCAACAGAAGAAAAGCCAGTTTCCTGAATTCATGGGTACTGATCATTTCATTTTATTTATTTTTCCTTTGCTGCACTTTTAGTTTAATTTTTTTCAGTAGCTTGTCTTTATTTGCCGGGACTGAACATTCTTCTTTCTTTACCCCTGTTCATTGCAAACAGCCACGAGGCAAATGTAGTCTCTCACAGCCTGGACCCTCTGTCAACAGTCCACATAGCAGGTACCTTATTCTCCTGGTTTCCACACTGTTCTAGAACTTCAAGAGGATGATGAAAATTGTCCATGATTTAGGTAGGCCTCTATCTGGTCTGCCTCAGGGTAGTTGAGAAATTACTTGTTTCATCTGCACACCCTTTTCCTAATAAATTGGAAGAGACTTTTCTAAGTGCAAAGTATAAGTAAAGCTCAGAGCACAAAATATTTGGATCCCACCAGAATTTTATCTAACTAGACATAGGCCATCTGGTACTTTTCATCACATCGTATTCTGTGTGCACTTAAGGATTCAGTGCAGTAGATGGCTCAGCCTCCATTTGATTCATGGCAGACTTTCCTCATCCTCTTTATTTCTAGATTTTACAATAAGACAGGTAATAGATCAATGAATTATTTTACCACTCACAGAACCCACAAATCTGAATAAAATATACTAACCTCCCCAGCTTTTTATTTTATTTTCATGTTTTATCCAGATTGTGGGTTTTGAATTCTCAAAATGGCAAGTCCTAATTTGGTATTATTTAAAATTTATAAGCACCTTCTCTCTTTTGCTTATCCTAAAACTTCTCTTCTGCCAGCACACTCAGTCACTCACCTTCCTGACACTTGGCAAACTCTTTCACGCTAGAAACAAAGGCAGTCAACTCCCCTGCCCGGGGACGTCCAGAGAGCCTACTCACAGCTGCCACTCCGTGCTTTACGCCTGGCTTCCCACAATCCCTTGTTTCTGCAGTTAGCGGTGCTTTGCCTTCTTCGTTGTTGGTGTGATGTCTGTGCTTCCCTGCCCTTTCACTAATCAGTTCATGTTCCCCCAGACAACTTTTTAAAAAATGAAAATACTGTCCCTGGAGCTGATTTTTTTCATTTCAATCCCAAGCAGTTCACAGTTAAAGTAGTTTGCCCCTCTGGAAACTTATCACCACTGAGCTGGAATCTAAATTCCTGAAAGGAGGGTGAGGGGTAAGGAAGTGTAGAGCTGTAAACAACCCCTGAGTAATAGTTTTCACTTTCCAGTTGCCTGCTGAAGGGACTGGATATTTGATTTGGTCATTCCTATTCAGCTGAAGCAATGCAGAACGTACTTTGACGTGCTTTTTGGTTTTAAGCCTCCCTTTACTGTGCTTTTTTTTTTTTTCTTTCCCTTTGGTTTCGTTTGACAACAATTTTGTGGGGGCTTTTTGTCCATAATAAACCAATAATGAAATATGAATGGAGAAAAACTCACAAGGATTTTTGAAGAGAATGATGGACTTCCACAGGTGCTCTGAGGTTCTCTTAGTCCCCTACAAGAAAAGCCAGTCATCTACTACAGACAGATCATTGTTTTGTCCATCTTCTCCCCACAAGTTGCCAATGTGCCGAGAACAGAGATGGGGACTATCCCCATAGCAGCCCTGTTAGGATACCAGAGATCAATTCTTTGGTTGACATAAATGACGGTGATGAGAAGGGGAAAGGCTCTTACATTATTATGCAAAACCAAAAGCAACCACCCTTTGGTTCCCAAATACCACATCAATCTGCAACCCCAACTCTTTCAGTCTCACGGGGTCTTCTGAAAATGCCCAAGGCATCGTTTCTCAGGGCAGCAGGTGCTTCAACATGTCTCCTACGGGGGCTTTGCAGCTGGGACAAGCACATTCACAACTGTGACATCCACAGGCGCCTTTCAGCTCTGCTCTGTCCAGCGCTGTTCATTAACATCTTTCTGAGCATACAGCACGGTGTTTACTTTGTTACGTAGAGGGTCTGGAATACAAACGAGCGACACCTGAATGGCAAACTTCATCAAACACCTTGGCAGACAGGTTGTGGTTGAACATTCTTGGACTTCTTAACTTCTTGGCACCTCTTGTTTGGGGTGCACCCAACCCCGACAATGGAATGTGGAGTCTGCTGGGAAAGAATTAACTTCACTCATAATCCAGGCTGTCACAGTGTTCCTTTACATTGAGATTTGAGTGTACCTTGTGTTTGATCTTGCACTGGTCCAGCAAATTTGAAAGCACAAACAGTTTAGAATGTTGACCCCAGCGATCTACAATGGAAAATTTTAGACACACATTCTTTCTAAGAGAGGAAAGAGGCTGAGTTGCAAGAAACTGGTTATCCGTTTGAAGGAAGGAGGTTCTTATATTATTTTGTTGTTTAAGGTCTGATGTTAATAATACAGTTGCTTATCTGCTATATATGATTTCAGGTTGGTTTTATAGCCACAGTTCTATGTCTTCTTATGTAGTATTCTAAGCCTACATATAGATTGATGCCAATATTTACTGTATACCTACTATGTGTAGGCACTGGGCTTACAAAATTACTACCGTATGGTTCCTGCCATGTGTCAGAATGTACAGATGCCCTAAATCAATTACAAGGAGCTCCTCAAGACTCCTTAAAAATTATAAACATTTGAAAAACATCTGTGCATACATTCATAATGATTATTCATCAGTTTCTAGATTAAAGAGGTTTAAGAAGCACTGTTTATGATGGTCCACCTGGACTTTTTTTCTATTTTTGACTTAAAATCGTCTAACTCAATCACCAACAAGTCTTCTCAACTCTACTGTGGATTATTTGAAGTTGACAAATGAGAAGATTTTACTCCAGTTTCCATCAAGGCAAAGGAATAATTGCTCTGTAGTCTGGATACAGTGAAGCACTTACTTCATTCTAAAACTTAAACAAAAATTCTAAAAGAAGTTCTAAAAATTCTAACATGCAAAATTTCCTTGGACACCTTTGGTCTCTAGCACCTTCTACAGAGAGAACTAAAGTGGAACAGTAAATGGAAGGGAGGGGGAAAACTGTGAGCACTTCAGTGTAAACACTGTTCAGTTTCTTATGGAATTTTTTTCCAAGTCTTTTCTGTTAGGCTCCTCCCTGGGGACTCTCCTTATCCATAGCATTTAGAGAGCTTCAGCCTATACAGGTGTACTTCTAGGACAGGCTGGCCACCAAGGCTGAGAGCAGTTATAGGGTAAGGTACCAGTATGTTTCTTTTATAATATTTTGAAGTATGCATTCCCAGTGTTTCCCGGGAACAAGTCAGCCACTTTGGCAAATGTATCACATCTTTCAAAGCACTACTAAAAAATCAGAACTATTCTCCTGGGAGACAAGACTGCATACAACCAGTCCCTAATGGTATGAATTAGCACACCTTTGCTTTAACAATGATGGTAAGACAATAATGATAAATTGTGACATTTATTTAGCACTTAATGTGCCTTAAGCACTATGCCCATTGTATATCTATCACCTCGTTTAACTCTTACCACATCCCCATGGCATGGCTGTATTCCCAAGTTCACAGACAAAGACACTGAAGATTAGAGGCACGAAGATTAAAGATTTGAACCAGGTCTACCTGACTCCGGATCCTAGTTTGTAAATCACTTCCCTCTGCCGGAGGGCCCGGGGAGGGGGGGGGCTCCTTTACACAACAGTTTTAGGGGTTGGGCTCCCACAGCCTGCCTGACACTGCCTAGGACCAGCCAGTTCATTTTTTGAAAAAGAAGACTGAAATCCTAAATTGATTCTGGAAATTTGTCTTCTGAACCACACATCCAGGGAATAAAGACCATCCGCACCAGAGCAGGCAACAAGATCGTACGCAACCTAGATATTTTCTCGCAATAAATTCCTGTTACAACACTGCCAGTGTTAGCTAACAAGTAACAAAACGAATTGAAAATTTCTTTTCATGTGCCTTTAAATAATGTATGCCCAGAGGTAATTCATTTTATTCTCCTTGATTATGTAAAATTTTTGAGATGAGTCATACTTTGTGCATGCTATTCAGGCTTTTTACAACCCTGGGTCAGACTTTCTTTTGTGTGGTGTGTTATTATGTACTACCGCTTCCCCCCTACCATGTTCCTTCTCCCACAACTATATGTATTTTGGGAAAGAGATGAAACAACTCCTGGGCAGTTATTTACCCAGAAATTTGAATGAGTGAGGGGAGTGAGAAAAATGATAAACTAAATATTTACTTGGAGAGAATAAAGCACATTTTTGCTGGACAGAATTATCTGAAATAGCTCCATCAATTAAGTTCCTTGGATAAGTTCACACATTTCGTTTTTCCTCTAGAAAGACAATCTCAGCTCACGTCTATTTATGTAATAAGGCCATTGAAGAGTGATGAGTGACTAGTTAATGAGTAGTCTTTGTCCTTTCCCTTGTCAACTTTCCCAAGACTCTTGAAACAGGTGCTCTTAGGTCAATAGATAAATATTAAAAGTACCCTTTTCCCCCTGCACCATTATCCTGTTGGTACTCGAAGCTCCAGTACAGGTTCGTCCTAAGAAGAGGCAATTTGGGGCATGCTGAAACCCTGATAGTGGCCCCAAGGGGGTGGCATTTTTCTCAGTAGATAAAGTGGACATTTCCAAGAGCAGTCAACTGCATGGAAGCCCACTGAGCACTGTGTGTTCTCTCTGTCCCTATCTCAGCCCATTACTTCTCCCTAGGTTAGCATTCTTCAACGTTAGAAGGCACATGCTAATTAAATTTTAATAAGAAATGCTCTGATGCTGTTCACTGTGCCATGTCCTTCAACAGACTCTATAACACATGAGCCCATATTCCAAAGATGGTGACCTTTCTAGTTTTCCTCAGGAGGGGACTTGTCAAAGTGCAGCCCCTGTTTTGATCTTGATCTTTGGCTTACTTGCTCAAAGAAGATCATTGACAAACAAAGGCTATTCATCTCTGTCAGTCAAATTGTATTATTAAGTAAATGCATAAACTTGCCCATAATGTCCTTAAATGTCTTCTAAAGAAGAAGACTTTTAGAAATTGCCTTCATTTTATTTAAATATTGAATAACGAGGAAATGTAGAGCTGTCTTTGGTGCTCCTGTTATAACTCATCCAGTGACAGGTACTGAGTGTTGTCTCCCAGGGCGTATTTGCAGGTCAACAGAAAGATATACTGAAGGAAATTTCAATCCAGAGTTCCGGGGTAACTATCCCATTCTCCTCAAGACACTTTAAGGCAAACTACTGAATTCATAAACTGTCAGAGCCAAAATGATTTGAGGGTATTAATGCACCTCCATAATGATTGAGGTATATAATGCAAATGAGAAAACTGAAGACAAGAGAGACTAAAGTACTTGCCCAAGATTGTACAATTGCCTCAAAACAAAATGCCCTCATGTCCATAATACTGACTTGATCTGTATAATACTTTACAATTCGAGGCATTTATTTCAGACACAAGGAAACCCCTCACCTCCAAATATTTTAGGATACAAGTATTGTCTTCTTTGCTTCTTTCAGGTGAGGTACATAAGTATGGCCTGGACAACCTCCATTCGTGTCATCAAACAACAAAATGTTGTAGAGAGTGTGGTAGGGCGGAACTTGGGAACCCTGACTCCCTGCTAGAGCTCTTCACTTAATTGTATGATTTGGGGCAAGTGGTTGACCCTATGCATAGAGTCCAAGTTCTGGGACCTAAAAAGCTCGGGGTTGAAATCTTAATTCTGCCACTTTCTAACTGTATAACCTTGAGCTAGCTACCTTATTTCTCAGAGTCTCCTTTTTCATCATCTATAAAGTGAAGATAATGAGCACACAGAGACTATCATGGGGATTAAGTGAGAGAATAAGATAAATGCTTAGGGTGTTGCCCAGCAATTAGAAGAGTAAAAGTTAACTCTCCTTAGCCACTTATGTATAAAGTTAGAAGATGGATTATATATTCTCTAAGGCTTTATTTCAACATGAAGATTTTATAATTTGGTAGCTTGAGGAGTTTCTGTTTTCTCCTTCCACTAATAGTTATGTGGCATACTTCATTTATGCTCTTTTCACAACATATACAACCTTTCCTATTCAGTTCATGAGGAATAAACTCATTGGCCTTAGCATAGGGCAGTTAATCAGTTTGACCACTAGATGGTGATTAAACTCTTATGGCCTCTCGGTTGACTATACTGACCAACTAGTAGAAGACTTAAAATATATAAAATATGGAACTTTCAAGTTGGAAGACCATCTAATCTAATTTGGAGGGTTTGAAGCAGTTGGCACTCAGAGGTGAAGTGAGTTGTCCAAGGTTACATAGATGTTAGTCGTGGGCTTTGGACAAGAATACAGTCCCAGTTTGGGCCAATGATTCGTGGGTTTTTTGACACTGCAAGAACTGTACTAGAAACACAGTGGTACGTGGCTGTTTGGAGCTTCTGCAGACTAGTCTGCTTGTCTCACATATGTCTTTGACAGTGTAATAAGAAAGCTTTGAGTACTCCCTCTGTTCCTTTTTAAGGGGTTTATGTCATTTTTTATCTTATTTATTTTCTTTGGTGCTACCCCTTATCCCTCACTAATATGAATGTAATCTGTTTTCAGAAATTAATGGCTAGTAGGATAGCTGGAAACATATTTTTTATGAGAAAAATGTACAGAGTAACCAATATAGTTTTTACACCTTCCTATTTCTCTAGTGGTCTCACATTCAGTGTCCTTACCCTTAGTGATATTATAACCATTAGGGAATTCATTGTAGGTATGGGGGAATGTGTCTCATTGGTACGTATATTCTTTTTGTTCCTGCACTGTTTTGTGTGCGTGTGTACAGAATGCCTCTTGTAAATAACATTTCCTTCTACAAGTTTCCTACTAGTAACCAAATAAGACATTAATGGATGCCCACAAAGAGAAAATAGTGCACCTCACCCAGGACTTACTTCCATTTTCAGAATTTTGCAGTCTTTCTTATGAGTGCTGAGATTCATACTTAATCTCTAATGCACTATTTAAAAGTAGATGGGAAAATGGAAGTAGTTAGGGAAACTTGGAACTTTGAGTCTAGAAGGAGCCTTCAAGAAGATAATCTGTTCTCAGAAAAGGTGTGTTTCCCAAAGTCACAGAACTAGCGATAGATAGGATCAGCCTAGAATCTACACCGTCCCACACAAGTGTTCTGTAGGCTAACTCTGCCACCACCCTTGTACGTACAGCTTTGGAACCCACTTGGGTCAGGATCACATGCTGATTCAGTGCAAGATGAAACCAGGGTATACTCTAAGATTATTTAAACTTCGTGAGTCTCTGCAAGATGGCTGCCGCTGTTCTTAACCTTGCTGCATAGATTTTGGCACATCCAGGATGGCAAGAGGGGATACTTTGCATAATTCTGACAGCAACTAATTTTACCTCATGGTGCTACTGATACTCTTAAACTAAAAATGTCCTGCATCAAACATCCACATTTTAATTATCCTGGATCTACTTAATCTATGCTGGTAGGATGTGTGGAGAGCAGTTATCTTTGTTGATGGAAAATGTTTTACCAAATTAAGGGATGGGATTTGAACCCAATTCATTGCCACTAGTTGACTGACTAAATGTTTATTTTTCATCAGTGAAGTGTCCAAAAAAACTCTTCATGTGGTGGTGGGGAGATCACCTTGGCATACTGCAGAAGGCTGCCAGCTAATTGCTGGGTTGGATTGGGTTGGGCATGGTCCTTTAGCTTCCAGGAAGGTGAGAAAGCAAAAAGCAGCATCCATCCGGCATTTGAGATATTTGAGTTATTTATGTTGATTCTCCTCTCAGGTCCATAAAAGGTGGCTCCGATTCCTCCCTTTCTGAGCCTCGGCCAACTCGGTCCGGCCGAGCCTTCTTATTCAGAGTCCTCCGAGCGGCTCTTCCACTCCAGCTTCTCCTGCTGCTCCTCATCGGGCTCGCCTGCCTTGTACCAATGTCAGAGGAAGACTATAGTTGTGCCCTCTCCAACAACTTTGCCCGATCATTCCACCCCATGCTCAGATACACAAATGGCCCTCCTCCGCTCTGAACCAAGCAGATGCCATCTGCAGCAGCGCTGGTAGCATAAGGAGGATTTGGCCAAAAGCAATCCCAAACTAGCAAAAACAGGACCTGAATCTTGGTGAATGCCCTCAGGGTGGCAGCTTTAGCTCTCCTCCGTATCCCATGTGTGCAGATCATGGCTTCGGAGGTGGATGGTAAACAATGACAGGAGGAGAGCAGACAGACAATAAGTTGGGAAGAAATTTTGTTTGAAACTCTGAGCCTCAGCACTAATGAGATTAAGGACCTCCAGCGCTCTCTGGACACATGAATTCTGGGCTGTTGGCTCATTCTCTGCGTACCCAAGGACTTCAGTAGACTGTCTTGAGCAGCTCTCCCACGGTGCCGCTCCATCCATTCAATAAAGGACTCTCCCTGGGTGCCATGTTGGCATTGAACAATCTACCAACCAACCAGTGCTGAGGAGATTTTAGAACCTTGTAACATACAATTTTTAAGAGCTTATATGGCACCTTTCTTTTTACCTTGTTTTCCTCTGGGGCATGATGTTCTAACTTTTGCTTTAGAAGCACAAGCTGTAAATCTAAAAGGCACTTTTTTTAAAGGTATAAAGTAAAACTGGATGTAATAAATACAATCATGGAAGGCTTTATGTGAAAAAAAAAGTTGAATGTTACAGTAAAAAAAAAAGATATTTATGTATGTACAGTTTGCTAAAGCCAAGTTTTGTTTGTATTGATTTCTTTGCATTTATTATAGATACTATAAAATATTTTGTCTGTGCTTTTTTTCTTTCCCCTAAAGAAATGACTCTAAATTTATGTACTAAGCAGACACTTACCAGAGCACTACCTAAATGAACTGTTTTGCAGAATGAGAGAAGCTGAAACATAAGTATGTATTAAAGAAAAAGGATGGTTACAGGGAGCGCACATTTAGACGTAAAGGACTCTGGATGATTCCTTTCCCCCTCCTCTCCCCATAACTAATCATATCTCCTGACCTCTTACCCCCCCAACATCTTTCACAGCCCCCTTTCTTCTCTGTTCCCTTTGCCCAGTTGGAAGAAACCCCACATTACTCTCCTCACTGAGGCCACATCTCCTCTGCATCCCAAGGATACTCAATAGCCATGTGGATTTTCTTAAAGCACTCTTGTTCACATCCCTACTCTACTCCAAAACCTTTGATTGCTTTTCATTGTCTACTAGAATAAATACAGTCTTCATCCATCATTCAAGTCCAAATACAATAAGATTTTATTCTGCCCCTCTGATCTTGCCAACCAGTGGCCATCGTGGAATTGCTTGGTGCTCATGGCGTTCTAATCCATCCTTTAATAATTGGAAGAGGAGAATTTATATAAAGCCCAGGTTTCAGGCTTCTCTTGAAAATGGAAATCTCTGATGCCTTGGGTGCATATTCCTGCATGCCAGTCATCGCTGGGGTGATATGGTTGCTGTCACTTGAAGAACAGTAAGAGAGAGTTTTTACGTTTTGCTTTATATCCTATTAACTCCTCTCACTACCTGTCCCAGTCTAACTCCTGCGGGTATTTGGTGTACAAATCCTGCTCTACATAAACCAAACTGAGGTACTCGACCTGAAACTGCCTGCCATGGTTTCCATGATGTTTGTAGCCTGAGTGCCATCTCATCTAGGGCTCCTGAGGATTATTAGGTTTCCCACGTCCTGAGATCACGGCAGACCTTCTAATCCCATCTCTGGGGGTATGACCTGGGGGCTTGCGTTATAAACAGACACCTGAGGTGGTTTTAGCCCGACAGACTGTTGAAAAGCACCGCCCCATCCCTGCTTCTCTCCCTAGTTTTGTTCTTACCACTCCTCTCTTCTCACAAGACTTAACTCACAAAGCCACCGACTCCCTGAAGACTTCCCTGACCACCGTTGGACTGTATTTTAATACTTCCCTCTACTGAATTTTCCTCACATGGGCATTCTTCTTTCTACTGTCAGGTTATTCCTGTCCCATTTCCCCGGAACCTCGCTCAGGGAACAGATCAGAGTTGAGTTGTTCTTTTTTTTAAAGACGAGAAGCATGTGCTAAAGTTTCCCATCTTCCTGCTTCTGGAAAGCTGTGAGCTGTGGCAGAGAGCGGAGCTTCAGGCACCCTCCCCTGAGATCGGGCCACGCTCTTACCCCACTTCCCCACCACTCCTGCTCCCAAGCAGTGCGCTCAGAGCAGTCCAGCCCTACAGGAGACACACGTTGCCACTGTTAGGAAAGTCACCACACAATGAGACATTAGTCATGGAAGAGACCAGCACCAAGAGACTGCAGAGCCCTTGCTTCTCCACATTACAATTACCGGACTAACGAGGCATTTCCCATCACTGAGGAATCAAGTGTTAAATGTGGCTGAGAGAAAAGTTCGGTTTTGACTAAGAAAAAATCTAATTAGAGTATAGTCTTTGTGTGCCTTTCTAAAAACCCCTGTGAAACACGCATAAGGATGGGTGATGTGCATTTCTATTAAATTTTTGAAGACTTAAACAGTCCAACATTGGAACAGAAGTGGAAAGTCCTGGTGAGTGGAAACATTGAAGCCGTGAAGTCATGGCTTTCCCCAGGGGGTGATATGACCAGTCTCGTGAGGACCAAGCCAGCCACCGATGAGTCTGGTACCTCTGCCCAGAGCCCTCACACTCTTACCTGCCTCTTGAGAAAGGGGACACAGGACAGCATCAGGAGCACCCTCACCTGCACCCTAGGCAGCCCTGGCAAGAGAGAGAGAGAAAGAGAGGATGTTCAACAAAGGCTTCGGGGACTAGATGAAGGGTTTGAAAGAATATTCAGGGGATGAAAGGGCTCTCATTTCTGAAGTGAAGACTGCCGGGGCCCTGCTGTGGCCTGGAGGTAGCCGGTTATCCCGAGAGGGGGTGGTGAAGAGGGGCAAGGCACAGAGGCCATCGAATGACCAGGAACGTAATGAGATTTGCACAGGCAGCCAGGAAATGTTAGAAGTGGTGAGAAAAGAGAAAAATCCATAGAGCTAACATGGCGAAATGAAGGCTTGGAAACCAAAAGCAGTGACTTCACAAGAAATCCAGGGAAGAGTGAAAGACTTTTGGGAAAGCCGCCCCTGGGGTGCAGTAATGTTGCCTCCTGGAAAATGAGGCGTCAGCAGCTTCTCTTGCATTTGTACGAAAAGAGGGGAGAGACACCTTCAAAAGGCTTGGATGAGAAATTCAGCAAGCTGAGGTCTGAGATTTCCTGTTCAAAAGGCGGGTTGTGGTAGACAGATTTACAGCCTGTGCTTTGGAACCAATTATTAAGAACGTAAAGCTACAGAACTTTATTGACAAGCCACGCAAGAGATCATAAAGCAAAGAGAGGTGGAATGAGTTGATTTATGAAAGCTGATCACGACCAAAAGCACAGGGTCTCCAAGAGCTGGTGTGGATGGGCCTGAGACCAGCCTTAATAGTTGGGATTCCTTCCCTGCTGCCCACCAGTTCAGCATCACCAGATGTATCCTCAGGGAACTGTGGAGAAGAAAGCCCCAGAGTCTGCACTGAATAGGTTCAGACATGCCAAGCAGAGCACATTCCCTCCTATCACAGCGTTTATCAAATGCCCACTGTGGTGTGTGACCTGCCTCAGACCTCGGGAGGCCAGTCTCAGCCAGGAAGGACCCCATCACTTCTTGTGTGATGATCCATCAAGGCAGCCTTCACAGGGCCTTTGACATATGGAAGAATCTGTACTTTCCTCCACCAGTTATGTCCTGAAACTGGCGATCAGGGTAAATGACACTAGAAGGGAACCAAATAGAAACAGTATCTGAGTTAGGGGGGGAAAGAGATTAAATCGATTGCATTTGTCTTCTTAATTTTCTGGCAGCAAATTTCTTCTTTTCACTTCTTTGTCACCTGATTTATGTGACGGTGGGGTGCGTTTCTGAAGAGCATGAGTCTGTGGAAGCAAAGACAGGTGAGGTGATGGACAAGCATGGAGGCCATTCCCAGCTTTGTTGTGAGCAGCACCAAGTTCGGGTGACACGAAGGGGCATTTTACCAAGAGTGGTCATTTCAATTTTAGATTTAATAATATACTGTGATAAGAAGCTGATTGTCAGACCTCAAATAATACAGAGACAATGAAACTTAAAAGGAATGGCTTTTATTTTTCAGTTCCTGGCTTCTCACTAACCTCTCCCTCAGAGTTTAAAATCTCTACCAGGAATCCATTTGGGAATGCCGCAGAAGAACCTGGATTTTGGGAAGAATCCTCATTCAGATGAGTAAGTGAAAGAACTGGGTGAATTGGGGGCATTTCCTGCCGCTGAGCAGGACGTTGGGCAAAGACAGCCACTGGAGGAATTCACTGGGACTGTGCTGAGGAAGGAGCATCTTGGAAAGCTAGAGAAGTCGGACAGTTGAGAATTGCTAATAAAAAACAAGGCAATATGCTGTAACACCATACCACATGCTGAACAATGAGGAACATTTAATCTGGGGAGCCGAGGAAGCCAGTTGGGACGTGAACATAATCCTTCTAAAATATAAACCTCACAGGAAAATAAATCAGCCTTGCCATTTTTTTTTTTTTTTACAGGAGCAGGAACATAACTGAGTTTGAAAACCCCAGTCATCAGAAGAAAGTCCTTGGTAGGCTGTGGTACCCCTGACGGACTGCATTGGTGCCACAGGTGGTGGAGAAGAAATCCAGGTCTTCCTGCCCCATAGTAGGATCGGTGCCTCACAGATGTGCATTCCAAGCCCAGGCCCGAATCCTGCTGGACACATTCTTGAGACAGTTGCTGAGCTCTTTTAGAAAAAAAAAAAAAAAA